GAAAAATCACTTTTCACAAAGAATTTTCTGCATAAGTTTCATATCCTTTGAAAAGAAAATTCTTGAGCAATAAGTCTTAGAAACTTGTGGAAATTCCCATTGAAAGAGAAGATCAATCTCATCATTGATAAACAACTGTATACATTGTTACAAATCATTACAAAAATCAGATTGTATTTATTTCCCCTTGCTGTTCAGGATTGTTGAAAGCAAGTGTGTGCATTAGAGAGGATTGTTCTCATTGAACTTAGTGTTAAGATCTTAAAGGTGTTTAAGATCTTTTGATCTCTCTATAGGTTAGAAAGAAAAGTTGTACACTGATCCTAACTATAGTGAAATCTCTTTCGAGTCGAAAATGGAGTGGAGTACCCTTGGAGTGTGAGGGGAACCACTATAATTTCCTGTGTCTCTTTTACTTTCTGCCTTTACAAGCTTTCATATCATCACTCAACAAAAAAAAGGGAAAGTAACATAATCCTCTTAAAACTAGAAAATTTCAAAAGAACCTAATTCACCCCCCTCTTAGGCGCAATTCTTACTTACAAGATCAAGAAAGTGATGCAAAGCTTGTAGAAGATGAAGTGATGCTAATGGTCACAACAAAGGAAGAGGAAATATTCAAGGATCATTGGTATCTCGACTCAGGTTGTTCGTTCCAAATGACTGGAAGAAAAGACTGGTTTATCAACATCTTTCCCTCGTCGAAGAACAAGGTAAAATTTGCAAAATGACAATACCCTATCTGCCAAAGGTGTTGGTGATGTTCTGATTAGGAGAAAGGAAGGTAAATGATCATTATTTTCCAATGTGTTGTACATACCTGGAATGAAGAGTAATTTGCTAAGTATAGGTCAACTGATCAAAATGAATTACAAAGAATTGATCAAAGATAGAATGATGAGAGAGGTCTACTCGAGAAACAGGTTAATCTTGAAGCTTCATATGTCTCAGAATAAAACATTCAGGATTGAACTTGATGTGTTGGAGCATAAATGTCTGGCGATAGCAGTTAGCAGAGATGAATGGTTATGGCATTATAGACTTGGTCACTTGAATTTTAATGACATCAATAATCTGAAGAGGAAGAACTTGGCTTCAGGCATACCAGAAATACATATTCTAGAAGAAGTATGTGAAGAATGTGCTCAAGCAAAGCAACACAAGAATAGCTTCAGAAAGGATGCAAGAAGCAAGTCAAAATCTACTCTTGACATAATCTACTCATACGTGTGTGGTCTTCTCCAGATAGATTCGCTTGAAGGTAACAAGTAATTTGTTACATTTATTGATGATTACAGCAAAAAATTATGGACCTACTTAATTAAGAAGAAAAATGATGTGATTGATGTTTTCACCAAGTTCAAAGCAATGGTTGAAAGACAGGGTGGTCACAAGATTAAGATTTTGAGGATAGATGGAGGTGGAGAGTATTGTCAAAAGATTTCGACATACTATGTATAAAAAGAAGTTATTGTGCATGAGGTGGTGTCACCATACACTACTCAACAAAATGGTACTGCTGAAAGAAAGAATATAACCATTATGAATATGGTGAAAAGTATGTTAAAAGGAAAACATCTCCCAAATGAGCTATGGTGTAAGGTTGTGTTGACTACAACATACATACTAAATTGATGTTTGACAAAGAGACATGTAGGTGTCACACTAGAAGAATTCTTGTCTGGTGCCAAACTTAGTTTAAACCAATTGAAGGTGTTTGGATCCATAACACATAGGCATGTGACAAATCAGTTGAGAGTAAATTTGAATGATAAGTTGAGTTAGATGATCTTGTGGGATATCATTCGACTGGTGGATGCAAACTGTTCGACCCATTAAACAAGCAAGTCATGATCAACATGGATTGGACTAAGCACATAAATAAGGATTCAATGAAAACCCTGTGTGATGAACCAACTAGTGAAACTATTAGAGATGTTTGACAAGTTGTTAGAGAGGTTCTACAAGAAGTTATCGAATGTCAAGCTGGCACAAGCAGACCTTAGACAACCAGAAACATGCTTGCAAGACTACAGGAATGTGTAATCACATCAGAAGATGTGGTTGATGATGAAGGTGAGTTAGTACATTATACCTTCCACGCATATATTGAGCCAGTCGATGCAGTTGAAGCATTGAAAGACTTGAGGTGGATGAAAGCTATGATGGATGAGATAAAATTCGTAGAAGACAATGATACCTGGTCACTAGTCGAATTTCCAAAAGGGAATAAGGCAATTAATGTGAAATGGGTATACAAAGTCAAGTTGAATCCAAAAGGTGAAGTAATTTGACACAGGGAAAGACATGTAGCAAATGGGTTTCTTCATAAAGAAGGAATCAACTACGGTGAAGTCTTTGTACCAGTATCTAGAATCAAAACAATCAGGTTGGTTATTGGTCTAGACAATATGTATAACTGATCGATATGTCAGATGGACGTGAAATATGCATTCTTGAATGGCCCTCTAGACGAATAGGTGTATGTGACACAATCAGTTGGGTTTGTGAAACAAGACCAAGAAAAGAAAATATACATGCTGCATAAAGTCATGTATGGACTGAAACAAGCTCCAAGAGTTTGGAAAAATAAAATAGATGACTTTCTAAGAGAGAAAGAGTTTGGTAAATTCACAATAGAGCATGGTGTATATGTCAGGAGAAGCCGGAGTGAGTTGTTTATACTATGTCTCTATGTCAACAACATGTTGATAACAGACAGTTGCAAAAAGGAGATCGAAGATTTCAAACATGACTTAAGTAAGGAGTTTGAAATGTAAGACTCTGGAAATCTCTCATACTTCCCTTGTATCTAATTTTACAAGAGTAATAGAGGCTTGATGATGCACCGAAGAAGATATGCAGGCGAAATACTCAAGAGATTTGAGATGCAATTTTTCAACGCAACTTCGACTCCAACTAAGCCCAGATTGCAACTGATAAAAGAGTCGAATGAAGATGATGTCCATCCAACACAGTACATAAGACCCAATCGATCACTTCGCTACCTCTGTCACACAAGGCCATATTTAACCTATTGTGTAGGCATGGTCAATAGATTCATGCAGAAGTCAAATGTATCTCATCTTGCAGCCACCAAGAGGATACTAAGGTATCTCAAAGAAACACTCGACTATGGTATTTTATTTCCTTCAGTCGATGAAGGAAAAAATGCAAACTTGTGGGCTACACTGACTCTAGTTGGTGTGGTAATGCTGAAGATAGAAAATCGACAGCAAGATATGTGTTCATGTTAGGCAGTGCACTTGTCGCATGGAGTTCAAGAAAGGAATCAGTGGTAGCTTTATCATCATGTGAGACACAATACACAGCAGCTTCGCTATGTGCATGTCAAGCAACATTGATGATGAATCTAGTTGAAGAAATTACAAGAAAGAATCATGGAGCAATGACCATGAAGATCGAAAGTATGTTGGCTATCAACCTGGCAAAGAATCCGATAGCGTACGGAAGAAGCAAACACATCGAAATGAGATTCAATTACTTGAGAGAGTAGGTAGAGAATGGAAAGTTGAGCCTAGAGTATTGCAGATATAATGACAAAGGCTGTGCAGGTCAAATTGTTCAAGAGATTATGAACAATGATGAATGTAGATAACTTAGATACAATGAATTATGTGGTGTGTTAAATATGTAATTCTGTGTCGAAGTCAAAATAATGTGTTTGTCTTTGACGAGTGTCGAAATGTGTTTTAGGTTGTGTCAAATAGAGTTTTTATTTGCTATATTTGATTGAAAGTCAAATATAGCCTATTGAAGCATGCAGTTGAAGTATGTAGTTATCGAAGGAGTCAACAAAATCGAAATAGTTAACTTCGCTTAGTTTTAGTTAAGTTAGTTATTTTGTGACTACTTTGAGTGCAAGTACTCTCATCTATAAATAAAGAAGATCTCTATTTCATTTGTAATGATTCATTCAATTTTATAGTTGCAATGTATAGTTTCATAAATCTCAGTTGTGATTAACACACATTATAACAAACACTTAAAATGCAGTTTGCACAGAGACACATTCTTCTTCTTCCTCCCGAATTTCTCTTTTCTCTTACTTTCAATTGCTTTGTTTTCTTCTTTCAATTCTTTGTATAGTGTAGAACAATCTTGCAACCAATGAGTGGTTGTTTCACCAGAGTAAAGGGTGAAGAACAAGAGAAATGATCAATTAAAAAAATTGATTTTTATTCATCAACATTGATTCTGTTAACTTCAAGATTGAAGTTTTTTCAAAAATAACTCCTTAATGTTGAATTCCAACAGAAAATGATATAAATGCGAGCACTTTGTGCCTTCGTTTCCAGTTATATTTCAGAGATAAGATGTATTTTTCTAAGGCCAAAAATGAACTTTAAGTGGAAATTACATAGCATTATCAATATACTTGGAGGTGAACACAAGATATCTGTGTCCATGTCAAGAAAGAAGTTCCAGTTACATGTGGTTGATATTCCAGACAAACTATTTTAAAGGGAATGAACCAATATCTAACTATGAACATGAGCAGCAGCAATTACAGGCTGCACTACAAAACAGACATTTTTTCACTATAATAAACAAGTCTGGTGACTAGGAACTTAGTAAGTCTTTCACGACTCAAACTTGGTCCTGTCAACAACCAAAAAGGAAGCTGTTCACAATACATCAGATCATCACCCCCGGGTTATTCAGTTCCCAGGCAACCTCAATGAAAGATCATTAGTATAATGTCCATTAGTTTTTGTATAAGTGGCATGATATTTTTCAATAACTGCTGGGATGGAGCAATTGCTAGTTCAGTTGCCAAGAGTTCCCTTAGTTTCAGCACCGCTATTTCCATCACCAATGCCTGTAGGGAAAAGATAATACTAATTTCAGGAGCTGATGCAAAATTTTCAAAGCTACTTTATGCCATTTGTATTAATTTAATTGTCATTGAGAAAAAAAACGATTAAAGAATCGAAAAAACTAACCCTCAATAGAGAGAGAGAACAGAGTCATTTATTTCAGATCCCACTTTCTGCTTCTGTAATCTGGCCTATACATGAACAGTCAATCAAGACACTAAAAATAAAGGAATTATTCATTACCTCAATCACATCAGATATTTAACCAAATAGCAAGGCAGTTCTTAGATTTTTCAGTCATGGGAATTTCTAATGAAAAAATTAAAATTCTAACAAGAGGTCTCAAAAACAAAAAAGTGAGCTGCTGTTTATTGTAATGATGCAATATATTGAGTGTGTTGGACAATCTCTATCGAGCAATGACAAGGTGAAAGAACACAGGGAAATTGTGAACTGAAATGCAATATTCTGTATCGAAAAAAAGTAGCAGAAGAGCCTAAGCTCTTTTTATCAAAACACTTTACAAGTAGATACAATGATGATACCAATTTCTACAAGCATACAAATGATGAAACCATATATTTTACCATTTTCTTCCTTGGTGACTAGAATCGCTTCTTGATTCAGATATAAGGTAATGCATGACAACAAGGTTCCAATTTGATTTTCTTAATTTCATGAATATGATGATGCTAAAAAGTAAGCTGGGAGAAATTGCTACAAAGTGTAGTTCATCATAGAGGCCACATAATGGTACACTAGATGGTTAGCTGAATCTGTATGCTCATCACACAATGCAAACATATTCTTTGCTCATGAGGACATGTGAGACGACAAAAAATGGTCTCTTTCGATGTAAAGTGAGAAAGCTATAAATGGGTTAATTGTATCCTTCATTGTAAATCCATTTAAATTAAATATTAGTCAGCCATGCCAAATAAGGCTTATCACAGTGACTATTTAAAATTGTAAGAATTTCAGAAAGCCTAACCTTTTATGCTACCAAGAGTAATGAGTCCACCAAGAACATCTCTGAACTTGGTCAAGATAAGTCTTTCCTGCTCTGCATAAGTATCTGTGCATCCATCAGAATTGGAAGACTTCTGAATCATGTTATGTTTAGTGTTGTCAATCGTAACTCCATTTGCAGAACCAGTATCGAAAAACATCCCAACTTGTTCATCACACATCAATTCAAGTGTTTCCGGTGACAATGGCCTATTACAAATGTCAATATCAACTGCATCTGTTACATCTTTATTTGCATGATTCTCACAAACAGGCTTGACAACTTTTCGACTGTCTTGCAACAATTGAGCTGATGAAGCAGTAGAAGCTTCAGATTTCCTGGTCTCTACTTTTCTAACTTCTTTCCCTCTCATTTCTGGAAAATGTCAATCGATCTCATACATCAGTGAAAAAGTAAGGGATGGATGAAAAGCTAGAGAATAGCAAAGAAGACAAATATATTCTAAGTGTAAAAAAATATTGAAATATAAATGTCCCAGTAGGCATAAAATTTAGAAACTTCGCAAATGAAAACAAAAATATTCTCAATCATTCACCACAAAGTAGATAAATTAAATTATTATAAGATAAGATGAATATCCATGTGTTAGTCAAAACCTGCATTTTTCTTTGTAGCTTCTCCAGAGAGAACAACTAAAACTGAACAAAGATTCTTCACATTCTGTGTCTGGAGGACATCAGCCAACACAGACCTTCAGCATGAAATATTGTTAATTTCAATTTCTCTATATCCATATTTCACCAAATATAAAGTCATCACCTAATGATTGGAAAAAAGTCATATACCTGTATGTAGATCTTGAAGATCCTGGAATTATCGTATTGGCAGTGTCCGAAACACAGGAAGCTGACAGGGATAAAAGAGATGAAGCTGTAGGATCAAGTTCCTGATTAAAATTATCGGTTGCAAGTGGTTGTCAGAACATGGAGGAAACTGATCAATAAATTAACAGGGAAGTGAGAAGAAATTGATGGCTCCAAGCGATAAAAATAGAATTGAGAAGTTGATATATTTGATCTGCAGTGACTATTTATATGAATGTTGTTACCTTATTAGTTTCACATGCTTTAAAATCCAAACACACTGAATTTGAATGGTGACCCTACAACAGAAATAATAACTAAATGGTTATGAAACAAATCCAAGTAAATCTTATCAATAATGCAAAGAAGAAAGCACCTGTTGGTATTGAGCAGTCATTTTAACAGTTTGATCTATGAATGCTTTGCCAGAAAGTATTTCTGGGATTTTTCTCTTCTTGGGTGTTATGTGGGTTCTAGGGTTGAAGGGTCCAACTGCTCCACTAATGGCCGCATTAGTTGTCTGTCTGATTTGTACTAGTTTACACTCTTCTTGGAAAACTGCTCTTCGTTCGTCACTTCCTTCAAAATTCTTGCAGTCCATGCATTTACAATTTTCAGAGCAGAGGATATTGGCTTGGAAACACTCGCAATACTTCTTAAGGCAACCTGATTTCTTGCAGTTACATCCTTTATTGTGCTTTCCTGTAACTTGAATTTCAGATACTTCCTCCTGAGTTTGTTCAAGACATTTAAATGTAGCACAAGTCAACTAAAATATCAGCTAAATCCAGAATAGTTATTAAAATCACAAAATTTTAGCCCAAAAGACTGATGCCAAACACCAACTATAAATACTTGAGGGAGCTGAATTGAAATTACTAACCATAGAAACTTCTGGTTTTTGTGGACTGCTTGCAATTTTTGGTCTGAAAGCATTTGGATTTCTTTCCAGAGTTATTCCAACTGCCTCCTGACGGGCAGCCTCATTGTCCACATTATTATGACAATTCAGACAGTTGCAACCATCACAATAGATCCCAGCTGCAAAGCACTCACAGTACCTTGTAGTTGCAAAATTAGCTATTGTTAGTTAAAGAAAGCACAAAAAAGCAGGCAAGATGTCCATATAGGTCATGTGGTAAAATATTCTTGATGGAAGTTTTTCATACAGAGAAGATAAAGTACTCACAATTTAAGGCATCGAGAATTTTTGCAGTTACACTGTTTTTGTTTCTTTGGAGTATTATCCTTTAATCCTGCATTATGTTGAGGCTGTGATCTAGGAGACTCGTGCTTTCTGAAGGAAAATAAATGCATTCAACACAATAAAATGAAAATTTGTACAAAAGTTCCTGCTGTGAAGTAAAATTCAATCAGAGGGAGAGATAAAACAGTCTTTTTGATAGGACTCTTTAAATGGACAGATGAAATTAATGCTTTTATTAACAAGTTTAGGTCACTTTCCTTTCATGAAAACTAATGGCAGCTGTCTAGTCTATTTGGTAATTGCCTAGTTTAGTGGAAAATTTATAACTTCTTTTTCCCAAAAGTGTAAGCATTACTCTTTTCACTACTTACCCACAAGTTACATTATTATAACCAACCTCAGAATGATGCTCAGATCGCTCTCAGATACAAATAACCAAGTTAGATTATTAGTGAAATGAATTCTTGACTACAATTGATAGGAAATTCAGACTTTCATCCCTAATGCTCTTTACACTAGCACTTACGCAACCATCCCTACCTTTAAAAATTCTCCAAGAATCATGCTTTTCGCACATCTAATCAAATTACAGATAAGAACCCTTGTCTTCAATTAGAAGCTAACTTCCAGTAAAAGCCTTCTATTTCTAATACAATCTCAAGTCTCATATACTGAAATTCAAAACACGAATCACTAATTCCAATTCAACCTTCTAACTGAATATCGCTACACTTTAGCATCAAAAAATTGCTTATCATTAAATGCAACACATTCAGAAAGAAAAAAGCAAAACGTTATTTCATTTACCTCTTCACCGGAAGCTTCTGTAAGGGGTGCTGTAAACGATGGACCGGAGAAACTAATTGTGGCCGCGGAGATCGTAAATGTGGCATTACCGGCGGAGACTGTGACGTTCTCTGCTGTTGCCACCGTGGCTGTGAAGGTAACCACGGCCGTTGACTTAATGACTGAAAATCCAATGTCAATTGCGCCGGAGAACGCGACTGCGTCGGCGACTGTAGAATAGTTTGCGACTGTGGCGTCGGTGGCGACAATGTCAGGTACGCCGGACCTCCACAAACGGCAGTGAAATCCAAGTACCTCACAAATCTCCGAGCAGCTAAATCCAACGTCGTTTCACTCTTCTCCATCAACGTGTCTTCTTAAGCCTGTAAAAAAACGCTCAACTCAACGCTAAACAGATATCGATATTGTTAAGCTTTGATTTCAAATCACAATGTGTGAATCTTAAAAACTCGCCGTTTCGAATTGAGTTTCCGGAAAACACGATAAAACATTTACCGTTACGGATTGTAATTTTTGAAGCAAAGAATCGACGGAGACTGTGAGAGAAAAGTATGGTAGACGATGAGAAAAAACATGCAGAGAAGAAAAGGATTGTAGGTGGAGACGATCACCGGCGAATTTGTTGCGGTGAAGACTCCGCCGTGGGAGTGGGAGTGATAGTGGTTAGTGGCAGTAGTTTCTCTCTCTCTCTTTTTCTTTTTCGTTTTTGAGATTTTGAAATTTTAATTTATTTAAGTTGAAACTTGGAAGGCTTAATTTAATGGTTGAGATTGGGTGGAGGAGTTGTAAGTGTTCTGTATCCGTTGGATTCAGGGACATGGTACCGGTACTGTTCGGGGAAGTAACGGAGACATATTTTGGCGCTAATTTAATTAAAGGACATGGGGATTGCTACAAACAAGTGAACGTCTATCTTAGTTAATCTTTTTAACACATCTATTATTTAAAAACTAATTTATTTATTAGGGACATCTTGTTGGAATAATGTATATCACTCGTGAGGTATAATGGATGTATATTTAGGAGTGTAAGCATATTAGAAAAATTAATTAAATCGATAATTCAAATCAAATTAAACTAAAATAAAATTGATTGTTTCTGATTCGATTCTAAAACCGAATTAAATTAATGAAAATTAAGGTGTTTTGATTCGACTTTCGATTTTAGTTATTAGAAAACGCCAAAACAAAGAATCAAATCAATGGATATAGTTATGTTCTAAATTTTTATTCTATCCATCATTAAATTTAAATTTTGTATCGATCTAACTATTTTCCATCTTTGTTTACATTTTTTTCCTTTAAGTAAAACACACATCTAGAATCAAACTCTAAAATATAGAAAGTAGAAATCATAAATCACAAAAATTAGCTTTCACTGAACTGCCGCTCTCGCTATCCGCCATAACTATTGTTTTCTCTATTATTGTTCTGATTTGTTATGGTCGCTTTCTTTTTGTTCAAGTTCTCTTTCTTAATTTTCATATTTCTTTTTTATCTTTTTAATTTTTCTTTTAGTCTTGTTACAAAATAGTTTTTTATGTGTTTGGGATATGAAACATGTTAATTGATGTGTTTTTTGTTGTGTTTTATTTGTTAAGCTTTTAAATTTCTTTCTAATCTTTTGATGTTAAGTGTTAACTTTTATATTTGATAGTGAACTTATTTCATGATACAATGGAAATCATGTCATTGTTTCTTATGGATTAAGAGAAATTTGTAATTTGTTTGAAAAAATAGAGCATGAAATGTATTATTTAAAAAATAATAGCATAAAATATACCAAAAAACAAGATAACGAAGAATATACGAATGAATATAACGTTTGAAAAAATAATTTTAAGTCGATGAACCAAACCAAACCAAATGGAACCAAACCGTTTAGTTTGGTTTGGTTCTATTTTTGAAAAAAGTTAAAGACCAAACCAAACCAAATCGATGGAGATATCATCGGTTCAGACTTTTTTTGACCAAAAATCAGTTCAAACCAAACCGACATCACCCTGTGTATATTGATAGAATTATAGTTTTGTCTAACTCATCTCTATAAAATCGATTTAGAGCTTGTAAGGTAAAGATTGCTCTCACTTATAAAGACATGTACATGTGATATATTGTGTGAAGTGAAACTCTTAACACACTATCTTACGTCTAGGATTAGACATCTGGCGTGTGGAAATAAATGGTGAGCGTTCCTATAGCGAAAATCTGACAGCAGATGGTTCATCGAATCTTAAACTAGACTCTGATACCATATTAAAAAATGTAGTTGGGTCTAATTCATCTCTACAAAACCGATTTGTTGGATGAAGATTACCCCCAATTATAAAAACATATTCATGTCATATATTGTCTAACATATACTCTTAACATATATTTTAGATATTAAAGACATTATTACATTATTTCAGTCATATAACGTAAATAGGTTTAATACATATTTTATTTATTTTGTATTCTACATTTATTTTAATCTCATAACTTTTTAAAAAATTAATGGTCTTTTAACTATACCAACGGAATTATATTAGTCCTTTTCATCCATTTTTCTCATAAAGTGTTAAAAATATGGGCTAAAAATATGGGTGTAGAATCCATGTCAGAATTGTGTGGCATACATGTCATCATTGTATGACATTAAGACTTTTGTAATCGGTTTAACAACAACAAAAATTGGTCACTAATTTCCATCTTCTTATTCTTTATAGTTTGGATCAATGAAACCTAAAGCAATATTGTACTTGTTAAAAAAATAGAGATGCATAACAACCCTTAGCTGGTAAGAATTTCCAGAGGCATTGGTCATTAATCGCCATCTTCATATTCTTCATAGTTTGGATCCATGAAACCTAAATCAATCTTGTACTTAGTAAAAGAAATAGAGATGCGTAGCAACCCTTAGTTGGTGAAGATTTTTATAGGCTTTAGTATTTATGTGGGGTTAGGGCAAGCTTACATGGATGAGAAACTCTGTCTTAGAAGTGTGTTTGTATAAATGTGAGAATGATCCCCCTCAACCCTAAGGTTGAGGTATTATTAAAGGCTTATAGGCATGGATTTATGGGCTTCTAAGTAGCAACCGTCGCACCTTGACCACAAAACGCGTTGACTGCCTACTTCTCAGGGATCGTGGTTGTGACTTCTTTCACATGTCGTCACGAAATTTATGCACATCATCATCCCCTCTTTCTTTCCAGGGAGAGCTATTTAGTGAGGGAAAACCATGCTTAGGTGACATACTCTGAGGTGGACGCCTAGTATGGGTGGATCCTTGCATTATCTTATGTGGGTCTTTCATAAATATATCACTATACAGTCCCTCAAGCATGAAGACTTGTAAAGGGTGAAGTGATTAAATTCATCTTCCACACAGTTTTGGAACCTTTCATTCCTTTCAAATGAGTCCTATATAAGGAGGAGACTCCCTCAATTAAGGGTGAGTCCCTTAGTTATGGATGAGTCTCTCAGTTAAGGGTGAGTCCCTCAGTTAAAGAAGAGTCCCTAAATTATGGGAGAGCCCCTCAAGAGTAGGTGCATCTTGAGGAGGGCATAGGTATACCTCTAGGTGTTACATGAGTGTTATGTTATAAGTAAATCAATTTTTAGAGACGTGAATATCTCTGTTTCCCTTGAAAAATGGAAAACAACCGTTGGTCTTCCAAATCTAACTTTGGTGACTCACAGGATCGATCAGATTGATTGATCATAGGACATGTGCTAAAGGTTTATGTTTTGAAATCTATCTATGTTACACACTTCGACGGTGTTTAGAAAAAGGCTTTAATCATAAAGGTGTTTGTTCGACTGAAGCGAAAGAGAAAATAGAAATTTAAAAGGAAAGAGATAGAGATCTTAGAAAGGAATTTAGGACGAAGATAAAGTAAAGTGCATAGAAGGGGGTATATTGTAGAAAAAAGTAAAGGAAAACTTTGTAAAGTTAAGCAAGTAAATTAAACTTCATTGAAAGTAAAGATGGTGTGTTTACATAATGTACATTCTCCTTGAACTCTTTTCTCTACACTCGGATACTTTGAGTAAATTTAGGAGTGACTTGTACAAATAGTAAATTACAACACACTGAATTCTATGTCTAAAACTCCTATTTATAATAGTAGAAATAACTACCAATAACCTCCTAAAACCATCAAGTTCCGACAAGTGTCATAATGCATGAAGTCCTTTGCCAAACGAACGCCACTTGTCCCTCTTAGTCATAGGAAAGAATAACTACTCCCTTCATTATTTGAATTTCAAAAACTTCACTAATCTCCAGCCAGCATCTCGGTCGAAGGCTACTTCTTTTAAGGTTCAGAATTTTCTCTAAGTCCCACAATATTTGACTTCCCAATCGAAGGTCTCAAGGCTTTGAAAACCTTTTTACCTCTCAAAAGACTTTAATATTTTATTTAAATATTTTAATCTATATAGATTAGGCTTCGAATTTGTGAGCTAACAAATTGCCCCCCAAAAATATCTTTTTCGACCTTTGTGTAGAAAAAGAACCTTTTTTTGACAACGTCCAATTCGATGCCGCCATTTCGACTTTCACACAAGCATCAATGTGATTGACTACCTGAGTCTGGGAAGACAAGAGAAGAAAGAAGAAAGAAAAAACAGGAAACTGTTCCACTATCCCCGTGCACGTCCCTGACGTCATGGGTCATTATGGTGGATTTCTTGGAACTCACAAAAATCCTCAGGCCATAATCATCCTTTTTAGGGCCTAATACAATCATGGGTATAGGTAGTAACTGCCACCGCTCTATCTCTTTATCTTGGGACACCACATGGCCCATTATCTCTAACCACTAATGACGAAAAAAGACTTTTGGTCTCCAAACATCCTATAAATAGTTCTTCAAAAATCATTTCCAACTTTTCCACTCTTCAACAAATACTCACATATTTTTTAGACATCTTCCAACTCTCAAAAACCCATTTCCTCCCCGAACTTCATCAATGGCATCATTTATGGCTGGAAACCAGGCTAAAAAGAAGAAGACACAAATCAAAGGACAATCAACTGCACTGCTCCTTCCTCCTTTCGCCACATTGAGTGGACCAAAAATAGTGAAGAATCAACAATTCATCCCTGAACCCCTACTAGAATAGAAAAGGCACATATATGAATCCCAAGTAATAATTTCTGTTACTGTTGCAGGTAAACCTTTTGGCTATGTCTGGTCTGTTATTGCCATTGGGTCTCAACTATTCCAATCTTAGTGAGTTTTTCCCTTCCTACCATAAGACCAAACCCTTAGGGCAAAAAGATTCCAGCAAACTTCCTACTGAGGGTCCAGATAGTTTAGCACTCTACAATGTAGATCTAAAATATCTTAACGATG